CAGTACTGTCTATTGATAACCTATCTAAGAACTTTCTAGATTAAAAGGCTAGTAATATTGTGAACTCAGAGGGCTCATTAGATTAAAAACTTCTTGGGTCTGTCAGAGCTATTCATTTTTACACATATTTAGATATGTCAGGGGTATATATTTAGTGCACCTTAAATTGTAACACTGCCTATTAAACCCATACTTCAGCCCTCTTTCTAATATAAATTGACCATAATTATACCTGAAAGTTTATAATTCTAGCCCCTCTTCATTTTTCTGAAGAAAAAAAAGTAGACCCTTGACCTTCTGTTCTACAATGTCCTTTTTTTAAATGTGAAGGCTTTACTGTAAAGACATTTCTCAGGTGGGTAGCACCTACTAATCACCAAATAGTAGAAATTTCTACATGCTCAGTAAATAGCAGACTGAATTTGTCATTGTATATGTTTGATAAGACATTCTAGCCCCTCTTCATTTTTCTGAAGAAAAAAAAGTAGACCCTTGACCTTCTGTTCTACAATGTCCTTTTTTTAAATGTGAAGGTTTTACTGTAAAGACATTTCTCAGGTGGGTAGCACCTACTAATCACCAAATAGCAGAAATTTCTACATGCTCAGTAAATAGCAGACTGAATTTGTCATTGTATATGTTTGATAAGAAAGGGCATTTATTGTCTATTAGGTAATATTCCAGAGAATTCACGTGAGGATGATGGTACCTAACCCTCAAAGTCAAAAAATAGCAGCAGTTTTCAATTCTGTTATAAGATAAGGTGAAAGAAGTTATTGCACAGTGGCTGTGAACAATGAGGGGAACCTGACCTTACTTACTAAATCCACTGCCAACGTAGTCGTATAAAGGCCAAAGAGTAACTAGGTTATGAAAGGTGTGTGGAGAGAAAGGAAATTATGGTATCAAAACATTCTGGGAGCAAATAGTGGATGCTTTTCAACAGGGAAATAGGCCATTGAAGTCATCTAGTATACAGAATGTCCTTCCATGACTTTTCTATACTAAGGACATAAAATTAGCAAGTGACATTTTTACTCACCCATTATATGAAATTGTGAAGCTCAAGAGTTATTCCAACCTTATCTCAGGAGAGAGAAGTAGAAGTCGTCTATGTCTTTGCGTCAAGAATGACATAGGTGTATAAAGGGAAAGTCACTTAAACACCTTCTTTTAATTTTGTTCAATTTCAACTAACTTCTTTGACAAGTAATTAGAAGATATGAGAGCCACATTGTTTTGAAATAGGACATTCAGTTTTCTAACTTGAGTGCTTTTATTTATGTTAATAAGCAATGAGTACCCTGGTTATTTTGATATTTAAACTTAGTGAAGTACAGCAGTATTTCTCAAAGTATATTCCATGGAGACTGGTCAAATCATTAGGAAAATAAGACAGAAGCTATTCCGAACTCTCTCACATATTCAAAATGCATATTAGAGTAATGAAAACTCTGAGAAATGCTTTCAAACAATTAAAAACCCTGTTTAACTCTGCCATGGAGACCTTGATTATTTTGTATTTTGTATATGAATTTTTACTTGATAATTGTTATTAACATAAACACCTCTAAGAAGCTTTGAAGAAATACACCAATAATTCAATGTGTTGGTAATAGCTTTTCAAACCTTGGACATGACTAATCAGGTCAAATTATGAATCATTCTGATATTAATTAGAATGAAACAGCCCACAATCAAATGGCATTGCAATTGTAGTATAGGAGAAAAGAATGCAGCATAACAGCCTCCAAAATAGGAAATGGGTAACAGAATGGAACAGTGGTGAAAAGAGCAGAAGTCATTGTCAAGGGCAACCAAACTCAATATGGAGTACAGTGTATTCAAAAGATATATACATTTAATTTATGCAAATTGTAATTATATATAAAGAGCAAAATCTCCTGGATTTCCCCATCATCCCTGTTCACATCCACCTCCACCTTCAGCTATACTACAGCTAAGAAAAAGGGAGGTCAATGGAGCAATCAAAGAAAAAACAAAGAAATGAATTCTAGGCCTTCAGTAGGGAGGAACTCTGTCCTGAATTCCAAGGGGCATCGTTCTGAGTCTTCAGAAGTTATACCTTGTGCGACTTGGGCTCCTAAGAGACACAGGTCCTGGTGATTGAGGGGTAATTTGGAGGATTTTTAAGGGTAATCTTGATTATCAGGGATTTTCAATTTTCACCTTTAAACTTTAACCTTGGAACCAACTGCCACTCCCATATATTTTTAGCAAAACAAAGGGTTATATAGCATGTATATGCCCTCTGCTTCACAGTGGAGAAATTCTTACTTCATGTGATTTAATCAAGTGTGCTCATATATTTTTAGTTTCTAACTAAAGCTGAAATAGTTCAAATATTAATGGTAAAAACATTATAATGAAATATTCCAAATACAAATGTTAAAATCTATGGCTCTAGTTGTCTCTATGGATTCTTTCATTCTTTAACTTAATAAAAACTTAAAAGCAAAGTAAATGAAATCTGGACTAACTTCAGTATTCCAATAAAAATAATTCAGTGATTCACTTCTAATAAGAAAGTTTTTCATTACTTAAAAAATACTCATTTGACCCAAACACTAAACATTTTTTTGAAAGATTGTTACTGCTTTGGGCCGGCCCGGTGGCGCACTCCTGCAGTGCGCCGCTTGGGAGCGTGGCATCGCTCCCGCCGAGGGTTCGGATCCCACATACAGACCGGTTCCCG